GGGTCCTTGATGTTACTATGCAAAGGAGTGTAATTAATAAAAAGTATATTTTCTTGTCAAATAGATATAGACAAAGATCACAAGAAGAAATCAGAAGAACTCATACATTGTGGACTGACATCTTCTGATTCTGATATATTTACGAAAGACGGTGAAGAAGAAATGCATGTGGATTCGGGAAACTCTGTAAGTCAGGACAGCATTGATGATATCGATGAAAAGCAAGAGGAACATACTTTACTTCAAGTGAAAAGGAATGACAAAGTGCAAGACATTAATAAAGAACTAGCTATTAAAGAAAGCCTCATGTGTCAACTCCTACAAAATTCTGCGCAATTAATCGATTACTCCAAAGAAATACAAGACATGGAGCAGGAAATAAAAACACTTCAAAACGAAAGAGAAGAACTATTGCAAGCATTACAAAATGTTCAGACAAGTAATGCAAGTTCAAAGTGAGTCACTTGGTTCTTTCACGATGACTGTACTACCTAATCACCTTATTAATTTGTCTTTAATATTTACAGATTGGCGGAATCCCGTCGTAAGAAAGTACAAGAATTAGAGAAAAAAATATCAGAATTAAAACGCAAGATCGTAGAGCAAGATAGAATAGTTAAAACGAAAGAGAAACAAGATCAACAGATAAAACAATTGTCTAAGGAAATGAATTCATTGAAACAGACTAGAGTCAAATTAATTAGACAAATGAGAAATGAATCCGATAAATTTACAAAATGGAAGGGATCCAAGGAGAAAGAACTGAATAGACTGAAAGATCAGAATAGAAAACAGGTGAATGAAGTAACACGTTTGAAAATGTGCTATTCTAAACAAGAAAATGTATTCAGAAGAAAAATGCAAGAAGCATTTGCAGTTAACAAGAGATTGAAGGTATATATACATTATATATAATATACATTAAAATGTTACGGGATACTTTGAATTAAATTGTTTCTTCTTTCAGGATGCTCTCGATTTGCAAAAAAAAGTAGCAGCTACGAAAAAAGCTAAACTAAATAATAATTTAGATAGAATAAAAACCTGGCTAGATCAAGAATTACAGATATTAGTCAGTACCGTAGATGCAGAATACTCTTTAGAAAAATTAATGCAAGAGAGGGCATCGCTCGCAGTTACACTACAGGAATTGCAGGACTCTGGTGATGAAGAAAAGATAGCCGAGCTTTCTGAGTTCTTAGACCTACGTAATACACAAATTACTGATCTTCAGCAAAAAATAGTTCAATCAGATCAGGGTATGTATTTTTTTTTTATTAAATGTCAAATTCAATTACATAGATTCATTCAAAATACACTTGTGCAGACAATAGGAAAAATACGAGGTGGCAATCAATCCATACGATGGAGGAAGCAAAATCTGCACTTAAAATATTATTTAAACAAACTGCAGAGGATAGACGGAAACAATGTGCACGGGAATTTGACTATAATGAGTTGCTGGTTTGTTCTTTATACAAAACGCTTAAGTTACGAGCTTAGATCTGTTATTAATTCTATATTACTGTAGGAAAAATATGAAATGCTGCAAGCACAAATGGAGGAGTATAAATTGAAAGAGAAAGAAAGGCGCATTTCAAAACAATTGGAATTAAATAAAATGATAAACCGAGTTGCGGAAATTGACGATGATGAGACAATGAAATCGAAAAAAGACGTTCAGACTCTAGAACAAACAGTTAGTACACTTCGTTGATAGTTTATGATGTGGGGAATGCAGTTTTCATGAACTTCTGCTTTTTTGTATTAAAGGTTTTAATGGAAGTACAGAATAAAAATGAAATATCGAAATCGAAAATTAGGAGGCAAACGAAAGTTACAGACCTAATTGATGAAAACACGTTTCCTGACTCAGACGGGAGTCAAATTTATGATGACGATGTCGAGAAGGATCCAGACTGGACGCGCACACCTCTTTACAATCGAATGCGAAAATTTTGGGTATTTAATTCAAGTTCTCACACGTCACTAATATATAGCATTTCTTTTGTATAGTGCCAATAGATATGCCCGTAGTTTCGATGGGGATGTTCAAATATTTATTATAATTGATAATACTGAAAGCGTTTTCATTATGAAATATGTTATCTTAATATTACTTCACTTTTAGAATACATCAAAGAACACTTCCTCTGAACGATCTACGCTGAAACGATCATCGGATGGTGATATAAAATGTAATTGTAAAACAAAATGTGCAACTCGTCTTTGCTCATGTCGCAAAAATAAAGAGATATGTAATAGTAATTGTGGCTGCATTCCTGAAGTTTGCAAAAACAAAGATATAAAGAATGTAAGTTTTCTTATTGATTAAATATCTAACATAAGTTAGCTCCTTACTAAAAGAGTGTATATTTCAGCTACGCGAAACAATATTTGATTTTGGCGAAATACAAAATGAAGCTGAATCAATAAAGAAACAAAGGTATATTTGAAGAATACCTTTATTGTTGCTTTTTGTATACATGTACTAATCGCTCCTTTTTTTAGACTGTCCGAGGAGGAACAGATGAGTATCGGGCCATAAATATAATTTTTGGTCAATAAAATAGCGTCCTTTAACAATAAG